TCCTTCTCTTCTCCCTCAACACTCTGACTTAATTCTAGGGATGCCCAGGTTAAGGTTGCAGGAACCCTATAACATATAAAATATGTTCTTGCGTAAAATTGTATGTCGTATAGTATGCTCTGTGGTTTGCACCTTTAGTGTGATTTGCCACAGTTCAGAAATAAATTGTTATATCTTGTTTGATTTAAACAGTAACTGTTTGTTCATATAAAAAAGATAAACAGTAAATTAATTTCTTAAAAGTTAAATTTGCACAGTAACTTGTTATAAATGTTATTTGTTTAAATAAATTCATTTGTAATAATGTTTGATCTTTAAAAGTTTGAATATTAAAATAATTTACTTAAGAAATTTTATAGATGCTCAATAATATACAATTTTAACAAATTTATATATAATATAAATCAGTTATTTTTGTTCTTGCATCCTTTAAACTAGCTTCCTTGAAGCCTTACAGGACAATTGGGAAGAAAGTTAAGCTACAGGGAGTAAAACTCCACGCCATTAAAGCTCTTTCAGAAGCAAATTGATGATATTACTAAATCCCTTATCCTAGATCATGGTATGGCTATTCCGTCTCAAACGGTAGACGGTAAAGAATTATCAAATCCGTTAATGGCTGTGGATTTGCCAAAAATCCAATCTTTTCAATAGTATACATACTAGTAGTATATGTAAATGATTTGTAAAACATGATTATTTTAATAGTATCCTCATTACGCTTTATAAATATATTAGCAAGCCCATATAATAGGCCCAAGTGGTCTCAATAATATTTTGCATAAAGAAAAAGATAAAATTATATTATCATCATCACCTTCACCTTCACATGGCAATAGTGCAATTCATGATGATATTCCATTATTAAAGTCAAAAGATAAATCAAAGAAAAGAAATGTGAAGATAAAAGAAAAAAGTAAAAAGAAGGACAACTCATCGTCCTCATCATAAAAGGCAGAAGGAACCTCATTCCTTCAATAATCTTTGTAAATGTCAAAAGATTCTTTGTAAAGGTTTAAGTGGCAGACAGCGTACTATTCAAGCTACAGGAAGAGTCAACCACTAATCAGCACAGTAAAAGCCAAGCTACTATTCCAACAGTAAAAGCCAGGTTACTATTATCAACAGTAAAAGTCAAGACACAGTGGCAGACAGTTCATTGTCCTCATCTTCTTGTATAAGGCAGAAGGAACCTTATTCCTTCAAATTTGATCTCATAAAAATCCAAGATATTATCTCCAACTAAACAGGTGGCAGACAACCCACTGTTCATCCACACAGTAAAAGATTCGGTGGCAGACAAGTATTCACTATTCATGCACAGTAAAAAGGCAACTAAACAGGTGGCTGAGACAAGTCACTGTTCATGAACCACAGTTAAGATTCGGTGGCAGTACAAGTATCACTATTGCATCAACAGTAAAAAGTAATTAGTAAAGATTCTTTCTTTTGTTATTTAATAGAGAGCCTCTCCTCTTTGTGAAGGCATTGTCCAATATAGGCAATCCTAAGCCCGAAGCTTAGTTAGTAATTTTTTTTTTTTTTTTTTTTTTTTTTTTTGGCGGTGGCCGCCGGCTCCGGCTGCCGGGCTCCCAGCTCCGACGGCTGGGCTGCCAGGCTGGGCTGCCTACGGGCGCGCCTTTCCTCTATTTAAGCTGCTTTTTGGCTGTTTTTTTTTTCACTCCTTTTTTTTCAAGCCACCAAAAATCTGGTCAGTTTCTTCTCTCTTTTTCTTCCTTTTTTTTTTATTTATTATTATTTTATTTATTATTTATTATTTTTTACCCTAAACCATATAAAATTGTTCTTGCGTAAAATTGTATGTCGTATAAGTATGCTCTGTGGTTGCACCTTAGTGTGATCTTCCACATCAGAAATATCCAGAAATAATTGTTATATGCTTGTTTGATTTTAAACAGTAACTGTTTGTTTCATTATAAAAAAGATAAACAGTAATTTATTTCTTAAGTATTAAATTTTTTTTTTTTTTTTTTTTTTTTTTTTTTTTTTTTTTTTTTTTTGAACAGTACTTGTTATAAATTTATTTGTTTAATAAATTAATTTGTATAATGTTTGATCTTTAAAAGTTTGAATATTAAATAATTTCATCATAGCATTAAGGGTAAGAAATAATTTCATCATAGCATTTACTTCGTTTAAATTTATTCCTTTTATAAGATTCAGATCTGTTAAACGGTCCTTTAACAGATTAATTATACAAAACCTTCTAAATCTACAACTAAAAATTCTTATAAAAATTTGACTTGTTACAATTGTGGTAAAAAAGGACATACATCTAAATTTTGTAAATTTAATAAACTTTTTTTTAAATGTGGTAAAAAATGACCACAACATTCTAAATTTTGTAAATTTAATAAGAAATAAATGAATTACACAGTTAGATGAAGAAATTGTAAATAAAATATATGAATTGTATCTTAATTCTGATACATCAGAGTCTGAGGTACAAGAAAGTAATAATCAAATTGATGAACTCGCTTCAACAACCAGTTCCTCAGATAGATCAATAAATATGTTAACTAAATATCAAAGTACACTCTTAGAAGTAGTAAATGGTATAACGGATAGTGATATTAAAAGTCAACTTTTTAAAAAACTAATTAAAAAAAGTTTTGAAGAAGATAAAGAAGTAAAACATATAACTCCTACAATCCAAACTAATACTTATGATTTAACAACTATATTGAATAGAAATAAAAAGGTAGACACAGGTATTTCACTTAAAGATATATATAAAGAAATTAGGATCTTAAAAAATGAAGTAAAAGAATTAAAAAATCAAGTATAGCTAAATGAGACAAAAATAAAACGTTTAGAGACACAATTAATATCTAGTTCCTCTTCGGAAGAACCAGATGATGAAATCAAAGATGAAATAAATGAACTAAATGAAGAAGAAGAAATAAACCCAAATTTTCTCTTTCTTTCTTTTACAAGAAATAACATCACGAAAATATCTGAGTAACAAAATAACTTACCAAATCATCAAAATGATTTTGATTATAAATGGATACTTTGGTTTGACACAGATGCAAACTTAAAACTTAAATTGTTTAAAATCTGACATAGTACCAAGAAGATATTGGTCAGAAACCCATGAAAAATTAACTACAGCTAATAAATCTAAATTAGAAATTGTAGGAAAAATTGATGCAGATATTGTAAATAATGAGTTAGAAATCAAAACAATTTTTCTGCTTTCTCCACAAATCAATTATATGGTAATATTAGGAACACCATTTATAAACCTAATAACACCATATTCAGTAAAAAAAGATTGTATTAAATTTAAAATCAATAATAGTAAAGCTAGGTTAGAATTCACTGAAAAACCTAGACTAGAAGGAAGAATTTAAATTTACTCAAAGCTCATTCTATTAAAACCTTAGAAATTAATTCTTTGATAAATTCTAAGGAAGAAGACTTAAAAGATTTAAGGAATAATGCATGTTTCAGAAAAATTAAAGAACAACAAAATACTGAACAGGTTCAAAATAAAATCAAGAATTTAAGAGAATTTATGGAAAATAAACTATGTGCCGATCACCCATGTGCAGATCACCCAAATGCATTTTGGGCCCGTAAACAGCATATAGTGGATTTACCATATGAAAAGGACTTTGATGAAAAGTCTATCACAACTAAAGCTCGGCCCATTCAAATGAGCCCTGAACTTATAGAGCATTGTAAAAAGGAAATTAAAGATTTAGAAACTAAAAGATTAATCAGAAAATCTAGAATTCCTTGGTCTTGTGCAGCTTTTTATGTCAATAAAAATGCTGAGATAGAAAGAGGAGTACCTAGACTAGTGATTAATTATAAACCTCTAAATACAGCTTTAAAATGGATAAGGTATCCAATTCCTAATAAAAAAGATCTTTTAAAGAAATTATATAATGCAAATATCTTTAGTAAATTATGAAATCTGTATTGGCAAATCCAGATTCACCCTAAGGATAGGTATAAAAGGCATTCACAGTCCCTTTCGGACAGTATGAATTGGAATGTGATGCCCCTTGGATTTAAAAAAATGCTCCTTCAGAATTCCAAAAGGAATAATGAATGAACATTTTTAATCCATATTCAACGTTTTGTTGTATAGTTTATATTTAAATGATGTTATTAATTTTTAGTCAAAACCCTTGAAAACCATTTTAAACAACTTTAAAAACCTTTTGCATGGTATTGAAAAAAAATGTTTTAGCACTTGTAAAACAAAAATGGACATTATTTAAAACAAAGGTTACGTTTTTGGCGTCATTATATAGAACAGGGTATTATTTCAGCCTATAGAACGAGCTATGTTTTTGGGTCTTAAATTCCCTTGATGAATTAACAAATAAACCCAACTCCAACGTTCTTGGATGTTTTAAATATGTAATAGAATTTTTTACTCAAACCTAAATTGTATGATTAAGCCCTTACATGGATAGGCTTAAGAAAAAATGTTGGCCCATGGACAGCCCAACCATACGCAGTTTAGTACAATAAGATTAAAGACTTTGCGTAAAGGAAATTCCAATCTTTATATCCTTAATCCAACAGCATTTAAAATAGTTGAAACTGATGCTTCAAATAGTTTGAAACTTGATGCTTCAAATGTTGGATACGGTGGTATTTCTTAAAACAAGTCATTAAGGGTAAAGAACGTATAATTCAGATTACATCGGTCATTGGAACACAACTCAATTAAATTAACGTTCTACTATTAAAAAGGAATATTAAGTATAGTAATATTGTATCAATAAATTTCAATCTGATTTCTTAAACCAAAAATTTTAACTTTAGAATTGATTGTAAAATCATGGTAAAATATTTGGCAAAAAGATGTTAAAAAACCTGCTTCCAAGCAAAATCTTTGCTAGATGGCAAGCGATTTCTTAATATATTTGGAGTTTGAATATTGAATTTATTAAAAAGGAAATAATAATAATATTTCCAGAACTTTCTAACTAGAGAAAGAGAATTCTTACAGAACGATGGGAAAGAAGAAGGATAAGGGGAAGAAACCCTTAAATGAACCTGATTCACCCACTAAAGCTCTTTCTGAGCACTCAGAAAACCTTAGTAAAGCCCTTACCAGTAAACCAGACCCCGCTAAAAACCTTCAACAATGGATTGAAGAACTTAGTAAATCTCCAGAAATAGTAAAGGCGCTTCAAAATATAGCATCCTCTTCTACAGAGAACCCAGGTATGATTTCTCAACCTAAAGCGATCGTATCCGCTCATGATACGGCTACTCCGTCTCAAACGGTAGGCGATAAAGAGTTATCAAATCCGTTAAAGGGTGTGGCTTTGCCAAAAAGCCAATTATCATTTACTTCTAGTATACATAAATGGTTTGTAAAAAATATATATGATTATGAAATTGAAGTTGAGGATGGATATAGGATATTAACTGAACATTCAATCCTTGGCAAGTTATTCACCAAATATTTATCCTGAGCATTGGTATTTTTGTCCCAACGAAACCCTTCAAAAAGAAAACCTCAGGAATACTACCATAGTATTTTAGGTAGATACTGGTTCAGTAAAAATTAAACATACGTTTGATACTTCAACATAAAACAGTTATTCGTACTCTTCTCTTCAAATAAAACGCGTCATCCATCCTAAGGATTGGCCCGTATCTTCTTATATACTTCCTTGTTTAGATTTAAAACTCTTTCTTAAGTATAAATCCTACTTATAATTATTGATTATAAAGAAGCATGGGAAAAGGTTTTTTGCATTTTCAAAAACCAACTCATATATTCTTGGTTAATTTAATTTTTGACCAAAAATATTTCGTAAAGATTTTTAAAAAATCCCTAATTGGTTTAAAAATGTGGCAATCAAGAGGAATTTTGAAGGAAATTATTACCCCAGAAGTCCTTTCATTATATCACTATTTTAAAACCAATTATAAACCCTTAACTCCTGAAGAAGCCCATTACCATCATTCATGGTACTATAGTATGACCTTCTTTCACAAACATGGGGTATACCAATGGGTTTTTGACTATCAGATGTTCCTGGTACTCAAAATACCCAATGATAGTAAAGTCACAGATAAAATGGGTGGGGATCATTCAAAAACTCACTACCCAACTTAAAAATCAATTAATGGATCACCAGTTAAAAAGATCACCAGTAAAAAGGCCAGCTCATCATCCCTTAAAAATTTAACTTATGCTAAAACACTTGCTTTACCAGAAAACCCTGACTTTGGGATTCAAAAAGCTAAGTGTCAAGCTAGGTTAGCTGCAGCTAAAACACCTGAAGAGTATAAATTGATCTGTGAAGAAATGTTCCAACTACTCTCTACCAGTTCAGATCCACAGGTAAAACCTTCATCCAGTAAAATTCAAGCAGCGTCTTCAAGTCAATCATCGACCAAGACAGCTCATAAAGGTAAAGGAAAAATATCATCATCATCTTCATCGGATACCTCCAGCTCATCCTCTGAAGATAGTGATATCCTCTGAAGATAGTGATGAGGCACTTTCAGTCATAAAAATCAAAAGTAAAGCTAAAGAAAAAGAAAGAAAAGAAAAAATAAAGAAAAAGAAAAAGAAAGCAGACAAGATAAAAAGAAAAGTAAAAAAGGGTATGTCATTATCCTCATCTTGTTCGGACTCTATATAAAACAAGGCAGGTGGAACCTTATTTCACCATCATATCATTTTCAATAGTAAAGGTCAAGATTCGGTGGCAAACAACCCACTGTTCATCTACAGTAAAGGTCAACACTGTTCAAGATTCGGTGGCAGACCAAGTACTATTCATAAATAGTAAAAGTTGAATAGTAAAAATTCTTTTGTTTTCTTTTAAAGGGAGCCTATCCTCTTCTCTTTGTTGAAGGCAGGAGGGACTAACTTTGAAGGGGGGGATTATTATTGTAAAACTCTCAATCTCCCTCTCCTCTCTTCCATTCTCAAGTTCATTTGTAAGGATTCCAAGTACGAAGTTCCTGTTTTGTAAAAACAACATACTATAAGTATTAAATTGTATTTCAATTGTTGTATTTTAAAATAAATTGTTGTTTAAATTTATAAACTGCCTAACTTTCTAAGTCCGTGTTTACGGCACCTTCTCTTCTCCCTCCACCACTCTGACTTAGTTCTGGGGATCCCAGGCTAAAGGTTGCAGGAACCTTCAACCTAATGAAGTAAAATCAATTAAAAATTGGTTGAGTTTGGTTGAGTTGATTGATAAATATTAAATAAATTATTTATTGTGTTGCCTGTTGCTTATAAGTATGCTCTGTGGATGCAGCCTAGTCTGATCTTCCACATCAGAAACTTGTTTTGCATGTTTATTATATATCTATATATATTTACAAATTGATTTATAAATTATAAGTATTGATATATCGGTTGGAAACCCAGAAGTGCGGGTTACTGGTTCAAAGGGCTATTTATTAGTCATCTTCTTGGTATAACAATGCCACGTATCGTACTTTAAAATGCAATACATACATATTATTATAAATGAATTAAATCGGACAGTTGGGACAGTTGTTAATCATTATATTATGATTAGATTTAAATAGATCTTTTACTTATTTTTCATTCCCATTCAGTATATTATTAATTAGAGTGTTTAGATTCGGGCGATCTTTGGGTTGTATTGTATCAGAGCTGTGAATATATATATTATATATATATAATAAATATTAATTATGTATTTTACAGTTAAAAATTTTAAAAAGTAAAAGTTTAAATTTATGAAAGATTTACATTATGTGTATTCTATTTTCAATTTTTTTAATTTTATCCCAAATCAAAACCCATACAAACATAAAATAAAAAAAATTAATAAAAAAATAACATACTTTTTTCTTTTTATCCTTTCTACATAAAAATATTATGTATATTCTATTGAAACATTTATATTTTTTAAAAAAATGTATGTATTCAATCATACATGTATATTCTATTTGAAAATTTATATTTTTAAAAAATGTATGTATTCAAATCATACAAATATATAAAAAAGAATATTAATAAAAAGCATTTTTTATTTATCTAATAAAATATTTTAAATTATATTTTAACCGCTATTTTCTTTCAAATTAAATAAATCTAAGATATAAGAGAAAAAATATCAAGAAAATAAAAAATGATTAATCATTAAGAGACTATCTATTTATAGCAAGGGAGATATAAATCTCTTACTAAATTAAAATGATAATAGTTACAAAATATTCAATTCGAAAATAAAAAATAAAAAAAATTTAAAAATAGAATTCTTTTCAGAATTTACCTAATAAAAAAAATTTAATATATATAGATATATAAAAATATCAATAACATATTATATATATTTAAAATTCTCGATATCACACACTTCATTTGGTTGAAAATAAATTTTGAAAAGTAAAAATTTAAAAATTTTGAAAGTCTTAATTATATTCTATTTAATTTTTGAAAAAAATATATATCCAATCAAATTATACAAATATAAAAAAAATATTGATAAAAATAATATAATTTTTTCTTTTTTTTATCTCTTTTCGAAAATTTTATCTCTTTCTTAAATAAAATATTAAGTACATTTTATTTGAAATTTTATTTTTAAAAAAAATATATCTAATCAAATTATATAAATATAAAGAAAAAAATATCAATAAAAAATATATTTTTTCTTTTTTTATAATCTCATAAATAAAATATGTTAAATTATAATTAAAATAAAATATAGAACTTTTCAAATGTAGACTTTTAGTTTGTTTAGTGCATGACCATAAGTAAACATATAAGAATTTTGAATTATAAATTCATCTGTTTTTTTCAGAAAATCACAGTAAGATTATTGTGGTTTTGCGAAATATAACTAGTTCGTCTCTATCTTTTTTAAAATATGCCAAATTTTTCATATATTTTACCTCCATTATCCTATTAGATCCATCTATTTTACCTATTTTCAGTTAAGTCAATAAAAAAATACAGGTTAAATGAAAAATACTGAATTATTATACAAAAAAATTACTGTAAAGCTTATATAGTTTGAAAAATACAATTAATCTTTTTTATAAAGGTTTAAAAAATATATCAAAAATAAAAAAAATAAAAATAATATTTTCATCATTTCATAAAGTATTTAAAGGAAATGATACATAAAGAAAAAAGACATTATATAGTGACTCAGTAAACTGTAAAAAATTTTAATCTATATTAAAGACAGACACAAACTAATTTTATTTCACAAATCATGAAAAACGGTAAAGTAATTTTTCCTTTTTTTTTTTAAGCGAAACGATAGAATTTCAAACACATCGTCTTGTGTTTATTTTAAAAAGAGAAAAATAAGTTACCTTTTCCCTTTTGTCATATATTATTAATAATGTACTTTCATAAAACTTTTGAGCTCGTCATATCTCATTCGTCTTTGTCACACTCTCACTCACCCAACATTTCAGTTGAGAGAAAATATGGCAGGAGAAGATCAAGAAGAAGAAAAATCAAATCAAGAGGAAGAAGAAGAGGAAGACAATACAAACCCAGAAGTAGAACACCACCAAACAATCTCTTCTTATATTGGCCTAAGCTTTTGTCTGTTTTTGGCCTCTTTGCCTACCAATTCCATTTCTTTAGTACAAAAGCTTCATTCTCAAATCAGAGACCTTTCTTTACGCCTATTTCAAGCTGAGGAGCAGCTAAAGCAAATGAAATCAAGAAGAAAAGAAGACTCCAAAGCCAATGCAAGAGTTGTTGAGATCTTTGCCAGCCACAGGAACGCATGGCAGGCAGAGGAGAAGCGGCTACTTCACCAGATCGACGCCGCCAGTGAAGAAATGGCTTCGTTAAGAGCAAGAATTCAAGATTTAGAAGGAGAGAGAGAAGAGTGGAATGGAAGAATTCAAGATTTGGAGAAAGAAGTTGGAGAGAGAGAAGAAATGATTGGGTTTATGTCTAGAAGTGCTGCTGCTGATTTTGCAGTTGAAGAAGAAGAGGAAGTATCTGGGATATGTGGGAAGAGGGAGTATTATGGTGGAGAGGAGGAGAATGTCAATTTTGTTTACAGCCCACAGCAGCAGCAGCAACCTATTAATGGGGGTTTCAGTTCAGATTTCATGGCTTCTGCTTCTAAGTTCTGGTCTGAAAGAACTAATCTTTGGCAGGTTTGCTCTTTTCCTATTTATTATTTTTCATTTTTCCCCTCAAGTCTTATGCAAAAAGAAATTGCCTTGGCATGATTCCTTACAGCTTCTCTTTTTGGTTAATTTATATTATATATTTGCAAATAATAAAATATCATCTAACATTCAACTTAGATTGTTTCTTAGATTCATAGGTGAAATGCTCCATTTAAAAAAAAAAAAAAAATAAAAAAATAAAAAGAACTTTGTTTTTAAAGTGTGGAAAATGTTCCCCATTTTGTCTAATAAATGTACTTACAACTAGAAGAAATTCCAATTTACTTCACTTTTGGGGCTATTCAAAAATAGCTGCTACTTGTATAGGAAGCTGCTTATAATATTCAAAGCATGAAAAACATAGCATTACAATTCTTCCCGAGGATTCTGCATGAGGCTATCTGCATTCCTAAGAAGCGTCTAATTGTTCTTATGGACATTCCGATCATGGTAAAACATTGGTAGCATCTCATGTTATGTATTGAACATTGGTAATAACATTTCTGGTATTGTATATGATGTGTTCAACTTCAACATTGTTTGCATTGTTAATTATATTCTGCTGTATTCAAAATTAAATTCATGGAAGATTTGTATAATTATTCAAGGGAGTTTAAGGATGCTACTCGGGACGCTAACATAATTTGCTAATTTTATGGTTTCTGTGGGGATTCATGAAATGCAACATCTACTTTTTTTGTTAATATGCCTACTTTTCCAAGTGGGAATAACAGATTCCATTTTCCAGTTTGAAATTTATAGGTTTGGTTGACTTTGCATCCATAAAAGTTTTTTTAATGGTAGGTTGAAATTGTTGATTGCTGCAGGAACAATAAATGATTTTAGCTTTGCTTTTTGGTTAACAGTGTACAAAGACAATTTGTTTGTTGAGAAACCATTGGCTTATTCCTGACCATTTTCCTATTAGCAATTAGTGGAGCATTTGTATATGACTATCTGTGACTTACATGAGTGTTCTGTAAGTGTTAAAAATTTTATATGTTCATTCTTTAAGGATTCTAATTCTGATGTTGGAAGTTTATTTCTGCAGGATATGCAGTATGAATCTCTTGAGTCGCTCTATCACATGAAGCATTTTGTGGCAAGGTAAGTTTTAACATTATATGTGCTCATATTTGTGAATTATGTCTGCGATTGTTGCTACTAATGAAGAGGTAATATGCATTTCCTGTTTAGAAGGGAGTCTCCATGGAAGGTAGATGGTGAATCAACAGGAATTTCCTCTAAATTAAAATTGCTTGAACAGGAACTCCTGAACTTGGAAGAAGTTGGCAAAACTGATCTGTCGAAAGTTCCATCGCTGATGAGGAAGCAAGCAAAGAGATGCCAAGCTCTTGCAGGGAAGATTGATGATCTGTGCAGAAGAATGGTAATGCATGTAAAATTGTCTGCCTACCTATTTTTTTGTGCCAGCATACAATTTTTCTTGACATAATTTCCTATATTTCTTTCAGATAAAGCATGATAATTTTGTTCCTTAAATGTGCAAGCAAACTGCTTTTCTTTTTCTTTTCTTTTTTTTTTTTTTCATCTTTTCTGTTTGTTACATTTGACATAGGCAGGCATGTTGTATTTTGGATACAGAAATATGTTATTGCTGAATCCAAAAGTTGCATATCTGTTCCACTAACTTAGAAAACTAAATTTGTGGACATTTTAAATTTGAAAGGTGCTTGACCTTAGGAAGCATTTTCATTTTGTGACAAGCTTATTTCAGGGGAAAAAAAAGTTATTGGAATATTTTTTCATGCAAGAAGAGCTACTAAATGTCTTCTGAAAGAAAATAGTTGTTCCCATATATGCTTCAAGGGATGCTTTAGACTGTTCACCATGCAATTACAAATTGAATAATCATAACATTTCCCACTCTTCCCAACAATTCTTAATTTTAAAAAAGGTCCATAAATGAACTTAATAAAAGAAACAAAAATCTGTTATCCTTTCCTTAATGTACTGTTGACGGGATGTATCACTCTCTTATGTGTTGATTTGATGGTAAAATTTTCATGTTGGGGTAAATTTTGTGTGCTCATGTTTGTCGGCACTTGACTCTCTCTCGCTCTTTCTCTTGGAGAAAATGCATGTGCAAACACATGAAGAATTGTATCCCTGGGAACTTTTGAAAGGTTGATATTCCTCTCTTTCTATTTCCATAGTTAGCATATTAATTACAAGTATGTTCCATGCGTTTGCAGCAAGCTAGTGATCCCTGTGAACCCACACTCACTCCAGAGTTCCGTACACAAAGGCAAACAGAGTTTTTGCTTGAAGCATTTCGACTTCAACAGCGGGCATCTGAAACTGGACAAAAGCTGATGGCATTACAAACTGAGATTGGGAAGAGTTACTATGCTGATGATAGGGGGAGCCAAGCCAACCTAACCATGAGACGTTCTTTCGACTCCATTAGAAACAACTTAAAAGAAGTTCAAAGAAACTTGGAAATATGGTTGGCCAGAATTATCGGAGATCTGGAAGGGATTCTTGCCAGGGATGGTGCTTCGCGTTCCAGAGACTATTATGTTTCTAGATATCCTTTTGTTCAATAGAAACTTTTGACTCAGTAGCTTGAAATCCTGATCTAACCGCAAGTATATTAAAGCTCTTATGGTAAATAGCTGATTTTGTCATGTAAGCCTGTCGCAGCAGCTGGGCATGGGCATTGAAATGTAACAAATTCCACTATATGTCTATGTTAGAATTAAAATTATCTTCCAATTGAAGTATTAATTATCTTCAATTCTGTGTTCACGTGTGAATCTGAAAGAGTAGATACATAAGCTTGTCACAAAATGTTAAAAGTATTTTTAAAATAAAATAAAAGAGAACAAAGAAATTTTTCAGTCAAAGAAAAGTTTTTAATGGTACCATTAATAAGTTAATAATTTCTCTGAGTTCAAAAGATATAAAAAAAAAACAGAACAAAAGAAATTCTTCTTCTTCAACCTCTTAGGAGTAGGCAATTTCAAGCACACGCAAGAGAAGACACTATCCCAACATATTAATTCCAATCCATTGCAGTACAAAGTACATAAACTAATTCTGAAAGTTATTGGGCACAAGTTAACATCACATTACAAATCCAGATACATTATTGAACTGATTTTTAACTATAATGAACACAACAGTTACATATGCATGGCCAACACACTAAGCGGAAGCCGCTGCTGCAGCTTCTTCCAGCAACAGTTTAACCTTCGTGATATAGTCACTCATTGCTTCTTCCTTAGATTTGCCTGCCAAATCCAAATTTACATCAGTGTTGAAACAACTGGAACAATAAGCAATAGCCAAAATCATCAGGAAATGATATATATAATTTTAAGTAATACCTTCAACAGCCTTCCATGCATCCCACTTTGCTCTGTCCCTCATGTTGAACATTCCAGGACGGCCTGCAAATCAGATTCAATCGAATTCTTAAATTTAACTTTGATTAAGAAATCTAAACTAGAATACTATTTGGTTAAAGGACTCTATCTAGGGAGAGCAAATCACTTACTGGTGTTCACAGGTCCAACAGTGGCTTGTTTAAAAAGCCCATACAAAATAAGTTTGTTCTCATTTGTTGTGTTTTCCGGAAGGGTCTTAGCTTTCTCAGCATACTCCTCAAATTCCTCCTGCAGACACCAACTCAAATATTGAGACTACAATACACAAGGAGACGTAATTTGACTTGTTCACATCCAAACGATGAATGATTTGAAATCCAAATTATGAAAGCCTATAATGAGAGGCATTCTGTAGCTACACCAACTCATGTAGAAGGTCATGACCAAAATATCTTGTTCAGAAGGCAACCAATATCACATTAGGAATGAAAATATCTTCAGTTCCAAAAGGCTAACGTTCACATTCCCAATAAAGAGCCCTCATTTACTGTCCCTATAAGCTGTTCCAGATAACCAAACACAGGGAAGAAAATGGTGTAATTGAGTATTGATTTCTAATGCTGAAACCTATAAGCGGACAATAATATCAGAGTGGTTGGAACTAGGTAACTAGGTTTATACAGCAAGTGATTCACTCAATGTTATCATGTGTTGAGTGGAACTATAACTATTCACCCCTAAGCTTAAAAATAAGTAATAGTATATCTGCACCAGCAATAAACTATTGGACCATTGTAAAAGCACTGACTAGAAATAGCTCAAGACTCCATGACAAAATCAAATGAAATCAAGATGCGATCAGTTAGCCTCAGTCAAGCAGGGAAAAATTCTTGAAAATACATGAATTAGTTCTTCTTTTATTGCTTTAAAAAAAATTCTATGAGAATATTTTTATTCATATTCATCAATAGGTTCTAATTATTTTGGTATACAGAAATTCTTAAAAGAATGGGCGTTTGACCTCAATCATCAGCCTAAAAGCTCAATAACAGTTGATTCTAAACTTTTACTATAATTAGAAAATATATAGTACTATAAGAACCATATGCCGGCGAATGCGTATACATAAACACATACATAAATTATTATTTTTCATTCAAAATTTTAAACAAAAATGATCTAGCTACAGACTTTTCAATTTTCTGATTGGATCAAAGAAAGAAAATAAGAAAAAGAAAAAAGAATACAGAAGATTGATTGGATCAATATAAAGACCTATCATAGATCTATGGCAGCAAGAGATAATATCAATAAGAATTCAGAAGAAATACAGATCCTCAGAAAATTAAATAAAGCAAACCCAACTTAAGTTCACTGATAATTATAAACTTGTACAAACAAAGACTGACGCATCACTGATCATTATAAACTTATACAAACAAAGACTAACCCATCAAAGATGAATCTGAGACAAATAGATTTGAACTATTTTAAAGGATAATCCAATAAATCAAATGTCAGATCTAACTAACAAATAGCTACCGAGCAAGCAAATAAAACAAGACAAACCAAAAACAAACCAAAAACAGTTGGATTCTACATTGTAGGATTTAGTCAAATAGATGATTTCGCAATAATTGAACAAAGAAAAAGGGAAGTGGTGGGCATACCTTCAAACCCATTTGCAGCTATGTGAGAATAATCTGATGACGATAATTTCTTGATTGATTTATAGAACGTATCGCCAATAAAGGCGTGAGCTTGTGGTACTTATACAACGAGAGTGGCAGGGGATTCCTTACATGTAAGCACTTATACTTATCCATAAAAATATTCCTATGTTCTATTCAGTACGTGGCATCTATATATTGGTTGGCTGTCTCTGTGGTCAAAAAGTTTACTAAGAGTGTACATACATCTGCAATACATTTGGTTTTTGAAAAACACAAGAACTGCTTTCGATTGACGCTTTGAACATTTTCCGGCTTGAATATATATATATATATAAATAAAGCAAAATTTATTATTTAGTCCATGAGGTATTGTTGAATACAACTAGCATGGACTAGTAGAGTAGCTAGGATATTACCTAGAGCCTATTTTAGGTTCCCTTGGGAAAGGAAAGGTGGACAGGCCATTTACCTTCGATAGTAGGCCAGGCGAGAAAGCTTGCACCCTGTTACAGTTGCTTTGACCTCTCTTTTTTCCTAAGCCTAAGATCTTTCATCAGGTGGTAGAAATCTCCAGGTGGTAGAAATCCTTCCCTATGAATATAGCAGTAGTTGTACCTGTCCCAGAAACCATAAAAAAGGGATTCTTGTACTAGTGTCAGCGCTTAGACGCAGAAAAATTACACCTTCATAGGGTAGCCTCTTCTATTCCACTATGGCAGTTGTAAGTTGGTAATTGTTAAATGGTTCTCTCTCCATGGCTCTTCCTGTTCCTTGCGCTTGGCAGTTGCATTTAGGAGAGAATAGGGCAAAGCCAAGACCAACACAAACAAGCAGTGTTCTTTCGCGGTGTGAAAAATTACGATAGGGCAAGCAGTTTTGACTCTGAGCGGGAAGTGAATCAAGCCCGTTGAGACCGTAGAAGTGTTTTTCGTATAGGGAAGTGTGCCTGAGTCTTTGCCTTCTTCTTTGATAGCCTAGATTTGAGTAAGTAGTTTCTGAAATCCCTGACTCAGCATTGTTTCCTGGTTCGGGTGTCTAACCAGAAGAGATTATTCGATCTTGTTGAAAAAAGTTGACCGTCTCATACGTACGATGGAAAGTCTCCTCCTGCTGCTAAATCTTTTTCTTTGCTTACTGGTCACCAGGGATAATAAATTAATCACTATTCCTCTGAAAGGCCCAAAGGGAGAAGGACTAGAGCCAAAGAGAGAAGCGAAGCCGAAACGACCGATCGAGGGAGCGGCAGCACAAATGAGAAAAAAAAACCGGAGCAGAAGCTGAACGACAGAACAGAAGCGGTATTACCTGTGAGATGGGACAATCTCGCGTATAGCAGGATATACTCTTCAACGTCCCTATTATTTTGCCGGACAAAAAATGAAGCTCAAAAAAGCTTTGTTTACGTTCCCCACAGTCCCCAGAGAGATCCATTCTTCTACCAGGACATTGCCTTCACTAAAACCCCAGATTTTTTCTCTGTCCATGGGGTCCCTTTCACCGGAAGTCCGTATACCTAAGACTGGACGCCTATAATTCCCGAGGTCAGCGGACTTGTTACCTGAGGCGTATAAAGCTTGACGTAAGGTCGGTTGGCGCCCGTCCCCGTCCGCGTTGGAGTAACCTCTTATGGACACGAACAGTTTTCTTTCTCGAGCCGTTCAGATAAGATTCGGACCTTTTCCAATACATTGACCTTGCCAAGACGGACTCCTTCGCGTTCGTAAACTTCCCACTTCGGGAACAACTCTTTCTAATCAACTTTCATCTCTCAAACGGAATAGAAAAAAGTCCTTTATATATTACCGGATAGATCTATACGCAAAGAAGCTGGACACAGATCTCTCTGGCGCACACTAAAGGCTATCAATGGTAAGCGTTAGATTCCGAAACCTTATGGTGGGGGTTGATGTGATGTGAAACGGGTTATTAGCTTATAAAGTTTCAGCTGCTCCAGCAAGCGATTTGAAATTCCTTTTGCTTGTAAACAAAACTCCTTTAGTTTTCTGCTCTTTTATCAATGCTTATAAGTGTTTGCTTCAATGACCGTGGACGATATCGAATCTCTCCCCAGACAGGTTGAGCCGATAGCGCAGCCGAGGTAGCTCTGGGCTAGCAGAACGAGCAGTATACGCTGCAAGCGAGGGCCCGAAAAAGGAAAACGAAAGCTAGGATCGGAGTTTGGGGTACGATATAGGAGCCGTGAAGCCCATTTCCCCCTAGACTGTCGTACCAATGGAGTAAGATTAGGGAAACAGTCTCTGTGCAAGTAACCTTGTCTATTCAGATCTTCTCTTCTCTTTTACTTGTGTATCCAATCCTGTGGCAAGTCGTACATTATTCCCTATTTTCTTTCCATCTTTTGATTTAAGGCAAAAGCACTTTTTTTTAAAAAATGCAATAATTCTTATACATCGCCGAAAGAAAGCTACGCCCTCTTTTCTAGCCCTAATCTAGAAAAGTTTAAACAGTCATTACCATGTATCCAATTTGGCCCTGCAAGGGAAAAAATCCATCAGTTTGAAAATCATTATCTGAGTTAAGCAAGTTACTTTGAAAGCCTTGAAAGCTCTTTCTTTAACCAAGTGGGGATCCCATCAAAATAAAAGGTCCCAAAAGACCCAGTCTCTTATCGAAGTCAAAGAGTAAATGAAGTGGGGTTTATTTCACGAGGTAGCTCCGCTCTAATCTTTGGGCTCTAGAATATGGTTATCAATCAGAAGGCAATCTGTGTTATGCCATGAAGCAGGGGATTTTGAGATTTCCACGCCTATCTGAACTAAACCCTGAGCTTTGAGCGAAACTGACTTCTCCTTTTTCAGTCCTTGGAGTCTATGAACCAGTATCCATCCGTATTTGATTTTGTCTTCCTACCAATGGTTCATAACCAGCCCTTTCGTAGCAGCTCTCCGCTTAATATGTAGCCCAGAATAGTCTTTGAACCTCATGGGATAAGCACATAGCAAAGCCCCCTCGTCTAGTGTCCACTCCTTTATAATATAAGGTCATGTTCGTCCCCTGTCCTTATGTCTCTCCTTCACCATTTTCCTACAGGCATTCCTTCCCCTTTCTCATTCATTCTAAGGAGCCCTAACGACAAGCGGCGGAATAGACAGAAGCGCACGGGATCTTAGAGAACGACAGTGAGTGTGGAATCAAGACAGTTCAAGACAGTAAGTCGCTTTTTCAATGAAGCGATATTAGTCCAAGCCGTGCCCCTTTTCTTTAGTCTTCTGTGCCCTTTACAAGGGGTTTAGTTGTCTAGTGCGCAGTGCCCTTAGCAAAAGTTCGCATTCCCACATAGCGATTGACCCTCTCTCTTTTTTTTTTTTTTTTTTTTTTTACAATCCCGTGGGAATTGGTGGCCTTCCAGCGAGCCAGCTTAGTACAATCTTGGGGAGAAAGCGCTTTTTTATTTGAAGTCAGCTCCTTGGCCCAGCTTTCGTAGCCAGTAGTTTCATTCCCCTCCAGACAGTAGCTCTTCCACCCCTTTTTAAATCCGCTGAGAGTTTCTTTACAAGTTCCCAAGCCTACATCAAATAGCAGTGTCCTCGCTTATCCAATTTCGGAAGAAAGGGATAGAGCCAATGAGCCAGTCAGTCTCTTTTACAAGTGGATATCTTTTTTTCATATGCCAGTCCTACGCTTACTAAAGAAGCCTAACTATATGAAAGGGCTATTCATTCTAAGAGTAAAGACCCTTAAATAATGAGCCGGTGTACCCGGGACCCTTCCAATTCAGTTCCCTTTGCTGTAGGTGCGGCGCAAAGACGAAGGGACTCGCGCCCACTCCCCTTCCCCCGTAGGAGGGCCTCAATCCCCGAAGAAGATTAACATTGGGGCTATCAAGCCCCAGAGTCCCAGGTAATGCTCATAGTAACTTCAGAAAAAGACAAAGACAGAAGAATTTGAAAAAACGGTATATTCTGGCGCACTTTTTTACAGGACTGAAACGCGGTGGCCTTCCTACGTACCTTACATAAAGGAATCACAGTTCCGGCGGGTGTTCTCGAAAATGCCAATATCGGGCGCCGCTCCTTCACCCGTAAATATGGGTTTTGTAGTAGCTAGTAATCTTTTGTCTTTGTCATCTACATCGTACCCTTCCTTATCAAAGAAGATAGATTTGTCCTTTATGGTACAGCCCATTACCCCCTTTCTTTAAATAAGATTCCAAACAGTGGATAGCTAACTCTTCCCTCGGTCAAGACGAGAAATAGATATTTTTTTTTCGGGGTTTCACATAAAATATCCCTCCTTCTCGGAGAAAATGCATTTTAGAAATATGCAAGGTTAAGGGGCGGAGGTAAAACGGTTTCTTATTTACACTCTTTCTTCGCATATAAAATGGTTTTTCAGGCAAATCCAATGTACTGTAAATCAAGAATACAAAAGTTCCGTAAATTGTAGATAAGGAAAAATATAAATATTATGTTCAGTTTAGTCAGTTATATACGCGATTTCGAAAAAAAGAGGACAGGACATAGTAAGCCCACCAGGGGCTTCTTTTTTCCTCCCTCTTCTCAAAGGAATTTTTCCACTCAATAAATATATGCCCTGGAACCTGTTGGTGCTATTAGAAACCATTAAACGAAGCAATAAATTTCCTAAAACCTATAAAAACGAACCTAGATCTCCTTTTCTCATAGCTCTACCGGTTGACCATGTCTTCCAAATAGTCACAAACCTAGCACCGAGTGCGTTAAGGGCACTGAAAAGAGATATAGTGGTCAGTACAATACAATTAATTGAACTCCGCACTGGTAAAACTCTTAGCCTAGTACTACTCTATCGAACTTTTTGTTGCTCTCTTCGTCTCAAAGAAGGAAGCTGCATACCGAAAAAGAAATAGCCATCATCGTGGCCTTTATGTAGTTATAATATGAGAGGTAGCAGACTGAATTCAAGAGCAATACAATCAAAACGGAAGAAAGGGTAATAGCTAAAGCTGCTTGTCTGTTTTTGAGCTCTCACTAGCTTCCCGTAGTCGTCTACTCTAACTAGACAAAGTCTTCAGCAAATCCCGCTATTAACCCAATCGGCACGTTACATACCTCTTTTTTCTATACCCACATCGAGGTTGGACACCCATATGCAATACACGCTTCTTAAAGCAGCCTGAAACCTTCTTTCAGGCTGTAAGGACCC